AAAAAAATTTACTTCAATGATTTTAGCAAATGGCTGCAATATAACAAAGAGTGAAAAATGTAAGGGGGTCTCTGAATACTTTCCGTACCCACTGTATATATATATATATATAGAAAAATTCTAAATAAAATTATTATTATTATTAAAAACATATTAGAAACTACAAAATAATAATAATAAAATACATTTCCATTGCAATACATGACCTCAAACTCTAGCAGAAAAAAACTGATTGATATACGTGTTACAACTGTGTTATAGAAGCAGATATTTCTCTATAATAATGGATGCAACAACTTGTAAAATGATTTAAATCAGCAAAAAAAGTCAGTTTAAATGCTCCACAGGCAATAGTGGAATCTGATCGAGACGTAATAAGGAAAGAGTAGAGCTAAGTGGGCAGTTTAATGATTAGCTTGCAGGACATGAAGATAATGAATGATGTCATGGTCTTTATCAGGTAAATGTAGCTGGTTTCACAAAATTAATAGATGAGAAACAAAGCCTCCCCAAGACACACTAGCTCCAGCCACTTTCAATGTTTAACAAACGACAGCGCCAATCTTGTTATTCAAGAGACGACTGGAGGAGCCATGGAGAAACAGACAGGCACATTCAAACAAGCAGAAAGGATGATACTTACGATCAAGTCCATTGATGTACCGGATTCGGATTTCACAGTGTCCCCACACAGCACTCACTACAGGGTATAGCTTCTTTCCTTTGAGTCCTCTGAAAGCAACCCCTAAATACTGTCCATCGACGATAAAACTTAAAGTCCCCTCATCCATGTCCAGGACCACCAAAAACGAGTCTGGGACAATAAAGGTTTCATCAGGCTCAAGAAAAGCTGGATACGTCCTACTGGGCTGGTTCTTGCCATCGTGATAGAGTTTGTTACGTCCCAGGTCCCAGCCCCAGGACTCGCTATTGTTTCCTACAAGTGCAGTGTATCCTACAGAATGCAGCGGGGCTTCACCCATCGACACCCCAACAACTGCATGGGTGCCCCGCTGGCGCATGGCCCAGCTGATCTCCCACACATGTAGTCCCCGTGTGTATCCCACTCGGCCCCGGATAGCATCTGTGCTCTGCGCTACAGGGTGCCGGTGAAATATAAGTTTATTGTCCTCTTTAACAAAGATGTTTAGCGACCGGTCGTCGTTGTTCCACGAGTGCTGAACTTGGACTTCCTGTGAGGCTGATGGCATGTCTAACAACATATCCAGGCGGGAGGGCTTGGTGTAGTCTAGGGCCTGCAGCTCTAGCTTGAGAGGCCTAAACGCCGGGTCCCGCATGTCCACAGTCTTTATGCCTCCCGGAACCTTCTGCCCCATGCTCTGGGTGGTCTTATTAGCACCTTACTCCCCCTCGTCACAAAACAAAGCAAATAACAGATCGAGGGCAGTCAGGGTCCACTCCTTCACCTATGCCCCTCCACCAATAAGGAGGCCAAGGCTGCTGTTTTTATGCCAGTGGTTGCTGGGAAACCAGGTCAAAGCAGCTGCTAGTTAAGCTCACCTAAGAAGAATAAAGGGAGATAAAAACGAGGCACACAGTTAAACAACTGGGATCAGATTAATGGTTTTCATTGTTGCCTTTTCCCATAACACAATAATAATAATAATAATAATAATAATAATAATAATATAGTAAACAGTATTATTATTATTAACTCAAATATTGAATATATTAATACTTCATTT